TTCATATACTGCATTTCATGGTTCATGGGTGCAGGAGTCCATTGTTGTAGAGGAAGGAAACATAGATATGATTCCTCTCCAGTTGTTTTTTTTTTGAAGAATATTCAAGGGCCACTCAGAGTGTCCCAGCGGCCGCCACTTGTCCATCGCTGCCTTAAATCGGCTTCGCTGGCATGAAACTTAGGCTCACCAACTCCAAGAAAGTATGCTACATCGTAACTGGTAGTCACTTATATTGCTAATGGAAAGCCACCAATTAGATTATAGCTGAGCTGAGTGTATCCCGTCCCGTGAAACAGAAAAGGAAATGACGCAGAAAAGTGGATACTGCGGACAGCATTATAGCTCCTAAAATCTGCTAACAAATAAGCAAACTGATTTACATCGTGTAGTGAACTGGACTGACCAGATATTAGAAAATGAAGTGCTGTCCACAAGGCCACACTATCTAGACCAAGACTTGGCCGAGACCAGAACTCACCAAGACCATGACAAAAAATTAGATTCGCTGGTGAACGTTATCTTAACTGTGTTCATATTTTTACCGTTGCAGTCAATCTAGGGATGGTTAGCTGTGTTAGCAACAAATGAAATGAAGGTACAGTGTCTGTTATTTTACCAAATGCTTGTCCTTTATTACCGCATGAACAAAGTTGAAGAATAGCAGATCAGTGCTGGTTGTAAATTTTAAAATATGAGACCGAGATAAGACCTAGATCTTCAAAATGAGGTCTCAAGAATGGTCTTGAGACCAAGATGGGACTCCGGTGTTGCAAAGCTACTAGGAATAGAACCTGGGTTTGCAGATGCAAATAAAAGTACTGTAGATCCGTAGTCAGCGCAATGCTGTGAAGCTGGGAATAACAATACCCGGTGACAAGTTACTGCAGCGCCACACCACAAGCGTGCAAAGAGGTTGGTGAAATCGAGGAATACCACAGAGTGTTAAGATTATTGACAATGCACTCAGTCTCACACCAGGCTCGGGGATCAATGAGCGCCTGAAAGGACATAAATCAGGCCTCGCGGCCCGGCTACTGCATGACACACCCACCAAGCTCCTCAATTAAACTCGCAGTGCAGGCACACTTGCACACAGTAAATCGCACATTGTTTTTGCAGCTTGTACGGACTTGTCCACGCAAATATAGAAAAATAAGTGCATGCCTCACTTATAATTCATTAAATGACACGACAGCACCTACCTGACAGTAGTGCAGCACACTAATATGAAATGTCACTTTGACAGGAGCTGAGCGAATGAAAAGCATCCTTTCTGGTGAAAAGCCAGCCTGAGAGGGGGAACCCCCGCCAGATGTACTACAACCTCACTTTGCACGCATGATCAAACACCTACATCTGGCTGCTGAGGGCTTTTCTGATTCTGCTTCTTTCCACGCGGATGCTAAATGATATCGTGAACATTTGAATGCAAGAGACATTTACACGCTGGCTTGTGCAATTACTCCTCCGATTTGCTGGAATCCAAACAGACACAGCATGATCAGTAATTAGATTTTGCACTGGATGAAGCACGCACGCATGCTAGTGGCCAAAGCTTGTACTTAATTGGAGTGCTGGATGGGCTCAAGGAGGCGCCGTGCAGTAGAGTAGCCCTCATTATCCCGCGAGTACAAATGAACTCGGTATATCAATTATGATCACACATGAGGGTATCCATTACCCAACATTTGCGGCCTTTTCAGATGGAATCACACAGTGCGGGGAATATAACCCAAGAAATCCAGACCATTACGGATTCATATCGGAGCAAAGCGGTTCAAGATGATCTATCACTTGAATGCGTGTTTTTAAGATGTAATTAGATTTCATGGGCAGTGATCTAATGTCTGCAATCAAGGCATAATTATTTGCCAGTAAACATCCTTAATGTGCAGGACAGTAAAACTGGTCAGGTTGACAACATCGATGACGACATGTGGCCAATGGGGTCATCTCTAGAGTCATCCTACATCCATCGATCCATTTTCCGATCTGCTTATCTTCATAAGTGTCGCGGGGGGTGCTGGAGCCTATCGCAGCTGTCTTTGGGCAGTAGGCAGGGGACACCCTGAACCGGTTGCCAGCCGATCGCAGGGCACACAGAGACGAACAACCATCCACGCTCACACTCACGCTCGCTAATGGGAGGTCATGACAAAATTGGCAGGCTAACTAATCGTGCTGCAAGCTAGCTTGCGTGCTCAGCGAGAGCTTCCGCATTTCTTAGGTTTTGCTCAGAGAAAAGGTCAGTGATAATTGAGATAAAAATTTAATTGCGTGATCCCTTGATCTCTGCCTAACTGTTATCGTATCAAACACATACGTGATTAAGTCCTTAAGCATCGAATTAAGCCTCGTGCGTCTGACTAAATTTCATTGCCGCTCCTCTTTGCATCTTTGTAGCGAGAATGTGAATATGGCATTTTAACTTGACACTGTTTTGCCTTGAGGCAGCTCTCAGGCAAAGGTGGAATTTGCTTCCATTTGTGTTGAATATTGATGGCTGAATCGGGTCATTAGTGGATTGGGAAAAAAAAACACTTTTGAATGTCTCTTAAGACAAATACTACAGGTCTTCATGTTCACCGTATTTTTCTACACACCTCAAATGGAGGAGCTACTGAACAAAAACTAGGAAAGGAAACAATCCAAACCTTAATTTTAAGGAAAACATTTTTTTACTAGCCCCCTTTAAATTGTGTGTCAATCAAATTTCGTTTTCAAACATATTCATTATTGTTTTTGCCCTGTTGTTGGAACGTAAATGTGATACTATATCATCAGTGTCCAATAAATAACCGTTTTACAACTTTGGCCATTTTTGTTGTTTTTATCTGGAATGTCACAGATGAATATGGAAAAAAAGTCATGGCGATTGGAGTTCTTTCAGGCTTATACAGTAATTAGCTGAATAGCACCTGACAGTGGGTGAATGAGTTTTCATATGGACAAGCATTTTGTTAAAATAGCATCATGTGTTGACTTGATTGTTTATTTAGTTAGTTTTTTTTTTTTTAAGTAGCTCATATATTGCATGTTAACTACACCTGTAAATATGACCATTTTGTGGAATGAATTACCCCGCTAATTCTGTCTGATGACAAAAGGTCCATCTCATTGGTATGAGAACTTATATATATATATAACGCTTGCAAAAGGCAAGGAGCGAGAAAAACGTATATATATATATATATATATATATATATAAAAAGGAGGTTACCATAGAGACCGGCCAGGAAGCATGTGATAGGCCTAACTCTGAAACAGCAAGAATTGTCTAGAAACCAATCACTGCACTGCCTCCTGTCTACAAGGTCATTCATTCAGCCTGACAACGCCTGCTCATCCGGTGAGCAGCTCATTTTCAAGCTTATCAACAATAGTTAATAAAGCAGGCCTCCTCTATGGTTCAATCGAATAAAATGATACGAACAGCAAGGGAAATGTGTTCATCTTTTAAAAAAAAATAAATCAAATATAAAATAAAGGTGACAAAGTAATCCACACAGACAATGTCTACACACAGCAGCCTAATTCAATATCCATTGTTTTCCACAGGCTGGTCCAATAATCCCTGGCGCAATAAAAATACAGTCTCTTGCATAGGAGTTGATGTAATGTCACAGTCAGATGATTATGATTGATGAGAATTCCTTATTGTTCTTTTATGAGTTTCAGCACGAGCTGAAGCGAAACACCATTTTAGTCAGCGTCAATATATGGGACTGGATGAAAAAAAAAGAGAGGCGACGCCGAGACCAAAAATCCATTCCGAAGCCTTATTTTATCATCTTAGGCAGAAGGGAAAATCCATTTTAGGGACACACCGTATCACATCACGGCTCCTCAATGCAGCTCGAATGTATTCATACCTGTAAAATACCGAGTTCCCCATATTCCTGATTTGTGCATTCAGCTTTTCTTGACCCTCCATTTTGAATGCGTACAATGATGTGAAAACATTTTACCATTCTCTTCTCCTTCATCGACCCTGCCTTTTGTACACACCCAGGCAGCCATAATCTCCTCCTTGTAGAAAAGACGCTGGCCAGTAACTGAATGCCATAAACTATCAATTTTCTTTTATTGATTATAGAAATGGAAATTCATGACACGAATAAGCATGCACAGCATCCGCGATATGGATGTGTGTTCTGCTGTCCTCACACATATACTGTATACGGGTCTGAGAAAACAATGAGCAAATCTGAACGCATTTAAAAGGAGAGCGAGACTTTTGGTCATTTCAATGGAAAATGCATATTTAGTGTGTGTTCTGAGCTAGCCCCAAAATTCCAATAAATCGGAGCTCTGTGCTATAACGTCGCACTTTAGTTTGGGAATACTTCTAAAATGCTGTACTGGTTTTCTTCCCTGAAATAAGACAAACATTGACAAACCTCACGGATGGAGAAAAGTGGGAGCAGTAAATTAGGATTTTATTTCAATGTGCTATAAATGACACTGTCAATTTGTTGTTATCAGTTTTATGTGCATACATTTCTCTCGCCTGTTTAAATGCAAATCTGAGGAAATGTGCTTTTGGAAGGACAGCGACAAATCAAATGTTCATTATATCGAGTACGTCACCTATTACTAAGGGCCACAGTGGCGCTGAGAGAATATGTAGCATCAACAGTTCAATTTTATTTTTTTTAATGAAAAGACATGAAAATGCATTCTTTTTACTGAAAAGAACATAATAAAATCTAAAATTACTCCACTACACCAAATCCAACTATTGAATATGATCGCAAACAGATACAATTTGTCCGATCAAGACATCTATTATAGGCCAGAGGTGCATTTTGGTGGTGGGCTTAAAAGGTTTGATATGCCTCTTGCACATGCTTCACCTGTATCAAGGGTGTCAACCTTTTGACAGCCATGAAAAATCCATTTCTTGCGGGCCATTTTCACGCTCCCTCACTTCTATGTGTCATGTGCATCAATAATAAATACCAACATTAAAAACAAATACAAAGGGTGAAACTTACCATTCAAGATGCTCTGGAACAAGGTAAAAGCCAATATCCACATGCCCTGCTCCGTTCAATCCCCTCCACAGCTATGCTTTCTCTTCTTCCTCACACCAGTGCCTTCCTGGGGTTCTCTTCAGAGCGTTTAGGGTGATGTTAAACATTTGTCTCCAAGCAGGCAGCCCTGAGTCTCGTACTTTTAATTTCTCCTCGTTACTTTTTTTTTTCTTTTTTTGCCCCACTTTTGGAGCAGCAATGAGCCCTGTGATTGTCTCGGAGAGAGCTGTGCACTCTCCTCTGCTCCGCGCCTTGCTGCCTCTCAAAAGGATGCTGAGGGGTGAATGAAGCCCAGGTGTGTGTGCGCGCGCGTGCTCGAGTGTGTGCGTGCGTGTGTGAGTGTGTGATGCTGAGTCAGAGGCGTTCACGAACGGAGCATTTAACAACAGAAGGCTTCAACTGCCTAAACTCAATATAATTTGGAAAAAAACTCAATTAACTAACAGGTTATTTTTTGGAGAAGGAGGAAATTAAAGGGGAAAAAAGCCTCAACTTGCGGAGACGCAATCAGAAAGAAAAAGGTGCTGGGTTAGGGTTGCTTTGTGCGGGGATTCCAAAGTCAAATTATCTTCATCGCCTGTGTGCGTCCAGCAAGAGGCGAACAAGCACATCTTCGCCACTGACGCTCTCTGTAATCGCACCGCACGGACTCTGGGAGCATTACGTTGAATAAAACACACACACACACACACACACACACACACACACACACACACGCGCGCGCGCGCGCGCGCGCGCACACACGCACACACACACCCTGCTCTGCCCCTGCAGACGGTTTAATTCCTCATTGCCTTAAAGGAGCAGAGGCGGATACCGGTAGTGTCCTGCGGGCAACACGCCACTAGAGACGAGACTTATTTGCATTAAAGACGCGGCGGCACCTGGCTGCCCTGTTCAACCTTTGAACATAAAAGTTTTTAAGAGTCAATATGGAAGTGTTTTGCAATTAGTAGAAAACATAGGGGGAACGAAACATTTAAAAAAGGATGAAATGTACTCACACCCGGGCTCTACTTTCAAAAGCTATGCCAATCACGTGATTCTCCTCGCTTCCAATCTGATTTGCGCGAATGTGATCGATGACTCAGGCTGTGTTCTTCTGGTTTGTTCTGAACACTTTGTTGAAGATGAGTTTTAATGCTGAATAAAGTTCTCTCGCTCCATCAAGGCCACCCTATATCACTGCCTTCCTGTCATATATAGGTCACCAGTGATGGGACATTGTGATTTTCTTGGAAAGGTGGTGTACTATAGATAAATAGCAATGATAACATAATTAAACAGAATTTGAGCAAATTTGTTACAGTGTTCCCTTGTCACTTTGCGGTCCGGCTATTGCGGATTCAATCAGGTCAAGACAAATCATGGCTCAACTTCAGAAAACAGGGAAGCCGTCAGTGTTCGTTATCCGAGCAACCGAAATGTCATTTTCAGCCAGACAGAAAGTAGCAAAATGGCCGCCCTCTGAGATGAGTGAAAACGGGAGGATTTCACTGGTTTACTCATAATCCACAAACACAAAATGAATCAGAATGCAGTGTTTACACTAGCGAAGGCACATACTGTATATTATTGTCAAGAAAAATGGGGGTTGACTGCCCCGTTCATAAGTTTTTGTCAAGCAAGTTACAAGTCGTAAAATTAACGACCTGAATGGAGTTTAAGCTCAAGGTGTTCGCAGGAAAATGTCTTGTTTGTTTGCTTGTACACAGTCTTGACAATAAAAGTGGTTCTGATTTAGTGCTAACATGTGTTCAAATGTTATGACAACACCACGGGCTCAACTGCAGGTGTACAGGTGCACCGGAATTTGTTCTGACTTATGATTTGTCAGGAGACAAAAGGCAGCCTGATCCTGATTTACAAGGACATCCAATGTCAAATATTGAATAAGGTGTAATTTGATACAAATAAGAGAAAGAATAGAAGATTATAACAAATGATATCATGAATTTGTTTTGTGAAAGTAGGAATTAATTCCAAAAAAAAGAAAGCGTGCATACAGTAGTCATGGTTGCACAAAATGCAGGGTTAAACCAGAGCACCCCCAACCCGTCAGCCACACGCATGCATGCACACATGCATGCTCCACACTGCCTCCCTCAAACCCAGTAATCCAGCCAGCACCGGCAACGGCACCATCCCTCCATTTTAATGCCTGCCTTGAAGTCAAGGGTGTCGCTGTAGTAGCCGCGGAAGCCCGCGGGGCCTGTCCACAGAGCTGGCTTACGCTCGATGTGATATTACCAGCAGGGTAGTAGTCTGCATCTCATTCTCTTTTCCACATGACGGAATATAAGGAGAGTCATGTTTATTTACTGCAGGATATCCAATCTCTGAACTCACTTTAAGGCTAAGGCAAGAAGCCCCCACCAACCCCCTCCCTGAAAAAAAACAAAGGATGTATGATAAATAAATTCACAGCATTGTCTGCCCTCATTTTGGTCCCATCCCGTTATGTCCCGATGTACACAAAGAAACATATGTATTTGTTTATGGACCTGATATTTCTGTTTGCTGACCAGACTTCTGACGTGTTGGGGAGGTTTTGTTCACCGTCTGGCAGTGGTCTCCACAACATGTGCTTGCATAGCTTGAAAATACAAATTATTCCCAAGCCAACAGATAAAGCCAAACAGTTTGAATTCCCAGTGGCAGTGCAAACGAAGAAAGCCAAGGCAAATCAGGGCAGTAGGTCAGGGATCCTGCCTATAATTGCTAATGGATTAGAGGCACAGTCCTCACGTTTTAGCTCTGCATTTTGGGCATTTAAAGCTAATTCGCTAGCAGCACAACAACTCGCTGGATTGTATGAAATAAAGAACTGATAGAAACAAACTATTACTACATCACAACAATCCAGTGGGTGAAGTGTGTGTTTAATTTAATGCAAAAAAGTCTATTGCTAAATTATCCATCCATTTTCTAATCCCAAGGGTCGCGGGGCATGCTGGAGCCTATCCCAGCCGTCTTCGGGCAGTAGGCGGGGGACACTCTGAACCGGTTGCCAGCCAATCGCAGGGCACACATAGATGAACAACTATTTGTGCTCAGAATCACACCTAAAGACAGTTTAGAGTGTTCCATTAACCTGGCATTCATGATTTTTGGAATGTGGGAGGATACCGGAGTACCCTGAGAAAACCCACGCAGGCCTGGGGGGGAACATGCAAACTCCACAAACGGAGGCCGGAGCCGGGATCGAACCCACAACCTCTGCACTGTGAGGTTGACGGGCTAACCACTGGATCACCGCGCGGGAGAGTTTAAGAGTGTGTTATTTAAGTATTAATAGCACAATGGTTTAACTTTCACTAGATGACATTTAAGAATGTTCAAAAGATAAATAAACATTGCCTGCACAGATATTTCAAGTCATTACATTTCAGTGTTTAATTAATTGGTAATCCATACCAATTTGAGATTGACCCACACCACTTCATGGATTTTTTGTGACCTTTAAGGATGCTTTCTACATGTTTTTTTGTGGGCTTCCGTGCAGTCTTGCCGCAATTAAGCACAAGCTGCAAAAATGGATGCATTTTGAAGGGGGTTGCTAGTGTGTACAGTGTATACACACACTCACACCAGTATACACACACACACTCCATACGTTGGAAGTGGCCCGGTATAAGCACCCTTTTACAACGGGTGTTTTGACAACAAACTAACATGGGCTAACATCCGTATTGACCACTGACTTTACAGTGACCAAAATACAGCGAGTGTGCTTGACTGCTCGGCAGGTTGAGTAACGTAAATATGACTGAAGAGAATGTGAGGTCTTAGTTGACATTGATTTGAGGTTTTTAGATCTCGGGAAGATAACAATGACTATCCAATTGCTCCACACACAAGCTCTACTGTCCCTACGGAAAACAGGTGCCGAGTTCATCACTTCAACTAGGAGGACAGCTGAACAATTACAACAGACGCCTGGTGATGTGAAAGACAATACGTTAAATTTTCACACTGAAGACAAGAGCCTTGACCTTGTCAACAGCAGGCAGTGGTATTTGGTGGTAGCTCCTATTCGATCATTTTCAGGCATGTGGGGGAGATGCTGGATGCGGAATGCCTTCGCTTTGAAACATATTCAAAGACCAGTGATGTTTTTATAGGACGAATAGAAGTTCCTCAAATATCCTGAGCAGACCTACAATATGGTGGCATCGACAATAACAGTAAGAGTCGAAAATAAATGAATGTACATCATAAAATGAGAAGTTTAAAAAATTTCACGTAGGTACAAGCAAAAAAAAAAAGAGGAAATAGTTCATTGTTTTTATTTTGAATACAATATTTTCAGGGTCACCTTGACAGTTTCATATTTTCCATGACTACACGTTGTCATATATTATGCATTGCCATTCAAAAGTTTTCGGTCACTAAGGAAAAAATATATATCTTTATATTTTAGAAAAACATTTTTTTTGAACCACATCAAGAATGTCGAGTGTGTATTCCGGTTCATTTACAGGTAATGTTATCCTTGTTGAAAAAAACCCAGTCCCTTTCTAAAATACAAAATAAATAAATGCTACGTATCTTTTCATCCATTTGGTTACATTCCATTACGATGTGGGACTTTTAAGATTTTCTTTGTACTTTAATAATTTTGTTCACATTGTTGGTCGCATTATTACAATCAGAATTACTTGACATCAGATCCCAGATGATACAGTAGATAGATAAATAACATGACTGCAATTTTTTGGCAACAATGACATGATACGAGCATGAATAAAAAATGATTCAATTTCTCTCCAGCCATATTGTAAACATGAGCAGAATAGATTTTTGGGTGGGCTTGAGTTTACTGTGTGAGTGGGAGGAGGAGGCGGGGAAGTTCATTTTAACCCCCCAGCATGATGCCCAAACCATGATAAGTGAATGTGACAATGAGACCCTTGGGCTACTGAATGCACAGTCTTGGTTTTGCTGTGTGGCCGTGTGTGTGCGTGTGTAAGAGTGCGCGCGCGCACACACACATGCACGTGCATGCATGCGTTTGCAGAAGCAGAGCACATATGAAACAATTTATGAACACAACACACAACCACATACACAAGGCCACAATTCCCTGTTGTGTAAAAGCTCACACTGGCATCTGAGCTCTGGTGTTCTTCATTTCACTACCAAACATGTCATGGATGCTGCAACAGGCTGGCTGACTGGATGGATGGATGGATGGATGGAGGAACAAAACACTGCAATCATTTTACAGGGTCTTGAGACTCTACAGTCTTTGGACTCTAGGTCGACTGACAGAGTCCCGACTGATTAGCCCTTGGAGAAGTCATTAGTCTTGGGGTCATATTTTCAAGCAAGTCTAGCACAGAGTGCAGTGTAACTATGTGCAAGAGTGCAATTTTCTTTCTTTGGGCATTTTTGTAGATGGGTAGTAGGAAATGGGCGTTTGCCCCGTTGTGGGAGTGAACACAGCCGCCTTGATTCCCAGCCAATCGAAGAGGCTTTCCTGATTTCCTTTAAATTCATCGCAGATGAGGCGTGCACTCTACACGGCGTAAGCATAACAGACTCGCTAGAGTCCGTGCAGAAGATCAAAATACGTGCAAAGTACGTTTATAAGGAATCGCAAGATGATTTCCACTCGCCGGATGATGTAAAGCGTCCTGCTGCGAAGTGGGCAGTTGGCGACTACC